TCCAGAATGTTCCTCTGCTGGTGACAGATCTAGGCCAGTACTCTGTCATCCTGGGACAAAAGTGATTGGCAGCACAGGATATATAGCTTGATGTTAAAAATCAACATCTGATTTGGCTGAGTGAACAGTCTATCTCTGAACAGATGGTGGAGCTGATGCTGAAGATGGTGCTCTGATCAATACTGAAGCATTCAGACTCTAAGTTTGAGCATCAGACAGATGTGAAATGAAGAGAGATCAAACTGGACAAGAAGATCAGACAGAAGCATCAGGCTCAGCTCTGTGAATTGAAAGGAACCAGCTCAGTCATGACATCTAAGACAAGGCAGAGATCAATCTGGGAGGAGACAGCACCACAGATGATGGATATGAACTTCATTAAGACTGCTTCTTTCTATGGTTATATGAAGAACAAGAACTCAACAGTCTTCATAACCAGTCTGTATGAAATTGATAAACAGCTTGAGGAGAAGCAGAGTTTAGTGGGAGCTGAGAAGGAGTCTGATGAGGAGCTGATCAGCAACTTACCAGAATGGTTGAAAGGTCAGAAGAACTGTTTCTCAAAGAAAGCATCAGATGAATTACCTTCCCTACAGAAGAACATTGATTTTAAGATAGAGCTTCAGTCTGACACTGACCTCATTTGAGACATTGAACATGCACCTCTATATAAGATGAATCTAGAGGAACTAGAAGCAGTGAAGATCTATCTTGAAATCAACCTAGCAAAGAACTTTGTGATTTTAAGTTCAGCTCTCTACACCTCCTCAATTCTGATTGCTTGTAGTGGGAAGAAGCTACAATTCTGTGTTGACTTTCACAAGCTGAATGCTATGACTGTTAGGGAGCGAATGCGAGCTGCATAAGAAGAAAGACTCTCTGCGTTGCTAACTGCTATATAACAAAATACTAAGCTTGATGGGATGAAAGGGGGTGCTGGGGCCTGCGTGGATTATAACCACCTGCATGGTCGTGTGGTCACGTGATATGGATTAGGCCTAATCGGGCGCCGAGCTTAATCCGACGTCGAGTCTAACTGGGCACCGGCCTTCAGTCGGGCTCGGTCGGACGCTGAGCCTAACATCACCCCCCAGTCTAGGGGCAGGCATGTCCTCATGCCGGTAGGTCATCATCAACCTCGTCCTTCAGGTAGCTGTCTGTCTCCCATGCCTTCAGCCACTCATCTAGTCACCTTGAGGGTCCAGCTTTTGTAGAGTTAGCCTCATGGAAGTTGTGTATGGCGTGTGGTGATTCTTTGAAGTTGTGAGTGGGGTACCATGAAGAATCCTCATCAAACCCCTTCCAGTGCATCTGATACTGCAGCTTGCTCTGGCTTATTTGACTGGCCAGTATATGATCTATTTCTCATTCATTCTCATCATCTATTTCAATTGGGTCTGGTGGTCTGATAGTCTGGCCAGGTAGAGGGTCTCTGGAGTTCTTGCATAGCTTGTCTGAGGAGAAGATTGAATGAATCTTCATTGTTATGGGGAGGTCCAGTTTGTAGGCATTGCTCATCTTTTCCAGGATTCTGAAGGGGCTGGCATTCTGCTCTGTCAGTTTACAGCTTGATCAATTCATCTTGTATGATTTCAATGTTAGATAAACAAAATCTCCTACTGCAAAGTCAGACTCTTGATGATGCTTGTCAGTCTGCCTCTTCATCTGTTCCTGTGCTGTTCTTATGTCTTTACTCATCTGATTTCAGATCTCTCTCATTCAGTGAATGAAGCTTCTTGCTGCTTCTTGATTTCTTTTCTCATTCATGTTCAATTTCTCCATCAGTGGTTGTCAGTCAAATGACATTCAGAGTTCATATTCATTTGCTGTGAGAAAGGGGGAGATCTCTGTGAAAGCATTTGAGATAGCTGCAGAGGCATGATCTATAATGAGCAGTCACTCATCCCAGTCATCTTGATAGTAACTGACATAGAGGTGAAGATAGATGGCAATGTATTGATTCACCACTTCTGTCTGTCCATCAGTTTGTGCATGATGCACTGTTGAGAGTTTCAGTTTTATGCCCAGAATCTGTGTAAACTCATTTCAAAAGCTTGATATGAACTGAGGGCCTCAGTCAGAGACAATTGAGTCAGACACCCCATTGTATGAATAGTAGAATTGAATGAATAGTCAGACCAGCTCCTGGGCTGTAACTCTCTGAGTGATTGAAATGAAGATTGTCTTCTTGCTTAGTCAGCATACTATGATCAAAATGACATCATAATCTGTTTTGCTTTTCAGCATGTCCATGAAGTCCATTGCAATATGCTGCCATGCTCATTCTGGTATTGATAATGACTTTAGCAAATCAGAAGTCTTATCTTTTGGAATTTTACTGATCCAGCACACATGACAGTTCCAAATATAGTGTAGGATATCTGTCTGCCAGATGGCCCACCAATAGTGTGATTGCATCAGAGCCAGGGTCTTTCATCCTCCAGAGTGTGCTGTTGAAGCTTGATCATGAATTTCCTGCAGTAGCTTGACTATCAGAGTTTTCTTTTTCTGAACAGACATCACTAGTCTTCCATTGTACTGTAGCACATTGTCCTTCATTGTATAGGAACTATTCTCATCATCTGCCTGCTGCTGCAGGGGCTCAATTGAGGTGGCTGTCTTGTTTAGAGACACTATGCATTCAGCAATGCTCTCTTTCCCTGAGAAGTTGATGCTAGCAATGTCTGTAGAGGGAGTGATCTGGGGGTTGAGGATCTCTGGTTCTAGAAGAATCTGCATACAGCTGTTCTGTTGCCTTCTAACCTGCTCAGACCTGCTCAGTGTGTCTGCTAGCAGATTGACCTTGCCTGGTCAATACTTGATCTCAAAGTAGAAACAAGAGAGGAACTCTGTCCAGTGGGCTTGACATGCATTCAGCTTCTTGGTAGTCATGAAGTATTCCAGTGCATGATGATCAGTGAGGATCTTGAATCATTTCTCCTGTTGTAGTCCCTCAAGCTCTGCCTGTCATTCTTGTAAGGCCCAGACTACTGCCAGCATTTTCTTATCATGAACTTCATAATTAAGCTCTGCACCATTCATTGTCTTTGAATAGAAGACTACTGGGTGCCAAAGGTCATTTTCAAATCTTTGACTTAGTACCTCAGTCACTACTCTGTCAGAGGCATCAGTCTCAATATGAGTCTTCTGCTCAGAGTCATAGTAACACAGTATCAGAGCCTCCATCAACTGCCTTTTCAATTTTTCAAAGACTGATTTGCATTCTGATGTCCACACAAATGGAATAGTCTTCTTTGTCAACTGGTACAGTGGCTTTGTGATTCAGCTGTAGTTCCTTATGAATCATCAGTAGAAATTGCCAAATCCTAGGAATGACTGGACTTCTTTGACTGTGGTGGGGGCCTGCCATCTCACAATGGCAGCTGTCTTCTCTGGGTCTGCCTCAATCCCTTCTGTACTGATGATGAACTCTAGGTATTTTGTCCTCTGGACTGCAAACTCACATTTCTGGATGCTGACTTGCAAATCTGCTGTCTTTAGTTGGTCTAGCACTGAGTTTACCTGCTGCTTGTGCTTCTTCAGATTCTTGCTATAGATTAGAAGATCATTCATGAATGCTGTCATAAACTTGTCCAGGTAGTCAAAGAAGATACTGTTAACAAACCATTGAAAGCAGGCAGGGGCATTTGTAAGGTCAAAGGGGACCACCTGATATTTATAGGTCCTGTAGCGGGTTCTAAAGGTGGTCAGGTCCTCAGACTCAGAGTCCATTCAGATGCAATGGAACCCCTGCTGAATGTCCAACTTTGTAAAGTATTTCACCCCATTGAGTCAGTTCATCAGCTCATCTATCAGAGGCAAGGGATACTGATCTTGTTTGGTTATAGCATTCAGCTTGTGAAAGTCAACACAGAATCATAGCTTCTTCCCACTACAGACAATCAGAATTGAGGAGGCATAGGGAGCTGAACTTGGGGTGACAAAACCCTTTGCTAGATTGACTTCAAGGTAGGTCTTCACTGCCTATAGTTCCTCTAGATTCATCTTATATAGAGGTGCATGTCCAATGCCCTGGGTGAGGTCAACATCAGACTGGAGCTCTATTTTAAAATCAACATTCTTCTGTAGAGGGGACAGTTCATCTGATGCTTTCTTTGAGAAGTAGTCCTTCCAGCCTTTCAATCATTCTGGTAAGTTGCTGATCAGCTCCTCATCAGACTCATTCTCAGCTTCCACTAAACCTCACTTCTCCTCAAGCTGTTTATCAATTTCATACAGACTGATTATGAAGGCTGTTGACTTCTTGTTCTTCATATAACCATGGAAGGAAGCAGCCTCAATGAAGTTCATATCCATCATCTGTGGTGCTGTCTCCTCCCAGGTCAGCTTCTGCCTCATCTCAGGCATCACAACTGAGCTGGTCCCTTTTAATCTGCAGAGCTGAGTCTGATGCTTCTGTCTGATCTCCTCATCCAGCTTGATCTCTCTTTGTTCCACATCTGTCTGATGCTCAGGCTTGAGGTCTGGGTGCTTCAGTACTGACCAGGGTACTATCTTCAACATCAGCTCTGCCATCTGTTCAGGGATAGACTGTTCACTCAGTCAAATCAGATGTTGGTTTTTAACATCAAGCCATATATCCTGTGCTGTCAACCACTTCTGTCCCAGGATGACAGAGTGCTGGCCTAGGTCTGTTATCAGCAGAGGAACATTCTGAAATCTCTGACCATTCACCCAGAGGTTTAGAGTCAATGTGTGATCTATCACCCCACTGAGGGTGCCATTGTATCCCTTCATGCAGCATTTGAATGAGAGTTCTTGAAACTTTCTATCAAAGAATCTTGCCAATTCTATGGCATATCAGGTATCAATAAAATTCACACCATTTGCTTCAGTATCAGCAAGAGAATTTGTGGAAGTAGCAATTCCATTGTAGGCTAATTTGATTGGTACATTAAAGCTTTTCCCCTCAATCAAGTCCTTCATCTCAAACCTCTCACAGACTGTTGAACTATCTGAGATGAAGTCTTCTCTCAGACTCACTCTTTTTCTGAATCTGCTGAAGGCTCAGAGGCATCATTTTCTGTGAGCTCAGCAATCATCTGCTGGGACTTCTGCTTTGCAGGGCAGTTCCTGGCAATGTGGCCTTTTTCCTTACAGTAGTAGCACTGAATATTCAGACAAGAGCTCAAGGCCTCCTTCACAGTAGAGGATTTTGTTGTAGAGATGCTGGAGGGTGTTTGACTGTTGACAGTCCACAGAGTGTTCTGTTTGAAGATATTAGATTCATTTCCCCACAAGCTTTTTGATTTCTAAGTGGCATTGATTGTCTGGAGGGTGTGAGCTGCCTGCACACAGATTTTCTGAAACTCAGCATATGTATCAGTGATTGCATTGGCTACTGCTACCATCTTCTGAAGGTCAAAGGACAGCTTGTCATTGAAGTCTGTCTTGTAGTCCCCTCTGACAATCTTGGCCTCCCCTGCCAGGTGTAAAAATTTTGTGACAAATTCATGACAATTATCCCCATTGTGCATAATCAGCTTGTGATAATCACTCTTGGCATTTTGCAGCTTGTTAGCATCCTCATATATTGACTTGAAGTGCTCAAACATCTCTTCTGCAGTTTGATATTGCTCAGAGTGGTCCTCTTCCATACAGAATGCAATGTGACATGCTGCATCCCCATCAGTCCAGTTTTCAATGTATGCTATCCTCATGCATTCAGTAGGGTAGTGGTCAGCATTCTCCCAGAGCTTGTTCTTCATTCAGAAGAGCCAGTGTTCAAATTTCAGCTTCTTGCTGTCAGTGAGATGTTTCAGATCATCAATCTTGACAGACCTTCTGGCAGTCTCAGAGAGGGTGATGCCTCAACTTGCTGCTTGATTGCTGACTGTCATGCAGATCAGAGTGTGACTAAGTTCATCATGTTCAGCAATTAGCTCATCAATCTGACTTTGCTTAACAGCAGTCTGATTAGTAATGTTGTCCCATTCCATTCTCAGACATGTGATCATATCCCTTAATGTTTTTTCATTGTCAAAGATGTCATCAAAGATCACTGCCAACTCATTATAAACATAGTCACTGTCTGAGTGGATTGCCTTTCTGAATTCCTCAATTGAGACATGTGGTTGATCAGTTGGTCTTGTTAGAAGGTATCACCAGTTCTTTTGGCCCCTTCCAGGGGGTTGGGAGCCTGTGGTGGTCATCTGATGTTGGATTGAGCTGTTGTCTTCAACAGTGCTGTTGTCTTAGCAGTTGATCTGACACATTGTCAGACTCTGAACTAGCAGGTTCTAATTCAACTGAGGCACTCAAGTTTTCTGCTGAAACCTGAGTGAGAAGGTAGAAGAGAAGCTTAGTATTGTGTTAGAGAGTGAATGTGAGCTGCATAAGAAGAAAGACTCTCTGCATTGCTAACTGCTATATAATGAAATACTAAGCTTGATGGGATGAAAGGGGGTGCTGGGGCCTGCATGGATTATAACCGCCTGCATGGTCATGTGGTCACGTGATATGGATTAGGCCTAATCGGGCGCCGAGCTTAATCCGACGTCGAGTCTAACCGGGCACCGGCCTTCGGTCGGGCTCGGTCGGACGCTGAGCCTAACAATGACCAAATGAGATCAGTATTCCTTGCCTCTAATAGATGAGCTGATGGACTGACTCAATGAAGCAAAATACTTTACAAAGCTGGACATTCAGCAGAGGTTCCATCACATCTGAATGAACTCTAAGTCAGAGAATCTGACCATCTTTAGAACTCACTACAGGATCTATAAATACTGAGTGATCCTCTTTAGCCTTACAAATGCCTCTGTCTGCTTTCAACAGTTTGTCAACAGTATCTTCTTTGATTATCTGGACAAGTTCATGACAGCATTAATGAATGATCTTCTAATCTACAGCAGGACTCTTGAAGAACACAAGCAGCAAGTGAACCTGATACTGAATCAATTAAAGACAGCAGATTTGCAAGCTAGCATTCAGAAATGCAAGTTTGCTGTTCAGAGAACAAGATATCTGAGATTTATCATTATCACAGAGGGGATTGAGACAGACTCTGAGAAGACTGCTGTCATCACAAAGTGGCAGATCTCAATCACAGTAAAAGATGTTCAATCATTTCTAGAATTTGACAACTTCTATCAGTAATTTATAAGAAGCTATAGTTGAATTGCAAAATCACTATACCAGTTGACAAAGAAGACAGTTTCATTCATGTGGACATCAGAATCTCAATCAGTCTTTGAGAAACTGAAGAAGCAGCTGGTGGAGACTCCAATTCTACATTACTTTGACTCTGAATGTGAAACTCACATTGAGACTGATGTCTCAGATGAAATGATGACTGAGATACTGAGTCAAAGATTGAATGATAATCTTTGGCACTCTGTGGTCTTCTACTTCAAGTCAATGAATGATGCAGAGCTCAACTATGAGATTCATGATAAGAAAATGCTTCCAGTCATCTGAGCATTGCAGAAGTGGCAAGCTGAGCTTGAGGGACTACAACAGAAAGAATGATTCAAGGTTCTCACTGATCATTGTGCACTGAAATACTTCATGACAATCAAGAAGCTGAATGCATGTTAGACCTGCTGAGCAGAATTTCTTTTCTGTTTCTATTTTGAGATTAAGTATTGATCAGATAAGGCCAACCTGCTAGCAGACACACTGAGCAGATCTGAGCAGGTTAAGAAGTAACAGAACAGTCATATGCAGATTCTTCTAGAATCAGAGACCCTTGACCCTCAGATTACTCTCTCTATGAATATTGCTAGCATCAACTTCTCAGAGAAAGAGAACATTGCTGAACACATAGTGTCTTTAAACAAGACAGCCACCTCAATTGAGTCCCTGCAGCAGCAAGTAGGAGAGGAGAATAGCCCCTATACAATGAAGAATAATATGTTGCTCTACCATGGAAGATTGATAATGTCTGTTCAGAAAGAAACTCTTATAACTGCTCTGTTAAAGAAAATTCATGATCAGATCTCAACAGCACATCCAGAGAGATGGAAGACTCTGACTCTGGTTCACCTCTGCTATTGATGAACCATCTGATGAGTGGATGTCTTACACTATGTTCAGAACTGTCATACATGCTGAGTTAGTAAGATCTCAAGAGACAAAGCCCTCAGCCTGCTAAAGCTGCTATCAATACCAGAATAGATATGACAGTATATCACAATGGACTTCATGAATGTGCCAAAGAGCAAAAGTGGCTGTGATGCCATTTTAGTTATAGTCTGCTGATTAAGCAAGAAGGCAATTTCAGTTTCTATCACTCATGAAGTTACAGTCTGTGAGCTGGCTTGATTATTCATCTGATTCTACTATTTCTATAATGAAGCACCAGACTTGATTGTCTCTGACCACAGCTCTCAGTTCATATCAAACTTCTGGAATGAGTTCACAGAAATTCTAGACATAAAGTTGAAACTCTCAACAACACATCACACACAGACAGATGAGCAGACAGAGACAACAAATCAGTATATTGTCACACATCTTCACTCATATGTTAATTACTATCAAAATAACTGAGATGAGTGATTACTCATTATAGATTATGCTTCTGCAGTCATCTCAAACATCTTCACTGAAATCTCCTCCTTTCTAGCTGCAAATGAATATGAGTCATGAACATCATTTGACTGAAGGTCTCTGTCAAGAGAACTAAGAACAGAGAAGAGAACAAATCAAAGAGCTGCTCAAAACTTTATTAAACAGATGAAAGAGATTTGAAAGTGAGCAGACAAGGACATGAAGACAGCATAGAAACAGATGAAGAGGCAGACTGACAGACATCATCAGAAACCTGACTTCACAGTGAGAGATTTTGTCTACTTGATATTGAAATCATACAGAATTGACTGATCAAGCTGTAAGCTGACAGCACAGAACACAGACCTCTTCAAAATTCTAGAGAGAGTGAGCAATGTCTATAGACTGAACCTTCTCACAATCATGAAAATTCATTCAATCTTCTTCTCAGACAAGCTGTGCAAAGATTCAAGAGATTCTCTATCAGAGCAGACTGTCAAACCACCAGATTCAATTGAGATAGATAGAGAAAATGAATGAGAAGTAGAGCATATATTAGCCAGTTGAATAAATTGAGGCAAACTGCAATATCAAGTCCACTGGAAGAGATTTGATGAGAACTCATCTTGATACCCAGCTCATGACTTCAAAGAATCACCACATGCCATACATGACTTCCATGAAGCTAACTCTACAAAAGCTGGACTCTCAAGGTGACTAAATGAGTGGCTGAAGGCATGGGAGACAGACAGCTATCTGAAGAATGAGATTGATGACAATCTACCAGCATGAGGACATGCCTGTCTCTAGACAGAGGGGTGATGTTAGGCTCAGCACCTGACTGAGCCCAACTGAGGCCCAAGGCCTGGTTAGACTTGACGTCAGATTAAGCTCAGCATCTGATTAGGCCAAATATTCTCACATGATCAAATGACCATGCAGGTGGTTATAACCTGGGCAGGCCCCAGCACCTCTTTCATTCCATCAAGCTTAGTATTTTGTTATATAGCAGTTAGCAACACAGAGAGTTTCCTTCTTATGCAGCTCACATTCACTTCCTAACAATTATTCACTGAATAAGAGATAATTTCTCAACAGAGATCAGTTTTTGATTTCTTAACTAAGAGTTCTCTCATGTTATATAGCTCTGAAGTTGATGGCAAAGAGTGAAATGAGAGATGTTGTACAATCTGACAGCAGCTCTAGAACTAGACATTTTAATCTTTTTTAACTACTTCAATAGCTAGAATAAGTCTTCCTTTCTTATATAAAGAATTATCATCTTTGATTGCTGATATTTTAATCAACTAAGTAGTTAAATGCATTGTGTAGTAAAGATCTATCTTAGTAGATAATTTATCTTACTAAATGATTGATTATATTATCAATAGTATTTTTTATTATATAATTACATTTATTAATATAATAGTATTTGAAAAATTACTTTTCATAATATTTAGTTTTATGATAAAAGTATTATAGAAAATATTTTTTAGTTTAATTATATACTTTTTAAATTTTACATAGAAAGAGAGTAGAATCTTATTAAATAAATAAATCTTCTACTAATAGTTACTATATTTCTTAATAAGATGACTATCAATTGACTAAAGATTAAAAATAAAGTTATGAACTATTTGATCTTCAAATTATCTCAATGTTTAATATTTCAATTTATAGTTCTAATTTATTTTATCAGAGTCTATGATTTTAACATGAATTCAATTATAGAATTCATTTCAGATAATAAGTATCTTTAATTTAATATAGTATTATTATTATTTTTATTAAAGTTCAATATCAAAATGAGTTAACTATTTCAAGAATTTTATATTTATCATCATTTTCAAAGTAATATCTTTGATAAATGTAAAATACAAAACTTAAAGTGATAAAGTTCTTTAATTTTTAAGACTTTTTATCTTAAACTTTTTAAAGAGTTTTCAAGTTGATGTAGAATAAAATCTTTTATACAGAAAATTAGTACTGATAATACAATCTATTGATTTTATTCTATACTGATTTTTCTCAAAGTTTTAATATTTTATACTAAAAGTATTAAGTTATTGTTATAGTTCAAGAAGGTTTTTATATATCTTTAGCTATACTTATTTTTATTAAGCTATTTAAATTTTTTTTATTAATTATTATATAAAATGCTTTAATATTTTTTTAAAAGTTAGATTTAATGATTATTTATAGAGAAATTTTTCTATATATACTTCTTTAATAGATATTATTTATGAGATGTCAGTTTGTAGATTGTATTTTGAACTTATTATTATAAACTTAACAAACAATCTTTCTATAAGTGATTAGAAACTATGAAAACATTTAATATAACTAAACTAAGTATTAAAAAAAAGTATAAATAGTACTATAACTAATATTGTAAGAGAGTGGAAATATAGATACTGTGAGTATTATAAAGAAAAAAAAATAATAATAAACAAAAATATAAATACAGAATTAAATAGTAGCTAATTATTGAATTTTTTAAGGAAATTTAAAGATTCAGAGTATTTATATATATAAATGAGTAGCAATAGATTTCATCTATAATCTATTATGAAATAAGTAATATAGTGCTGAATCTATTCTTTAATAAATAATAATAGATTTTATATATAATTTTTCAAAAAATAAAGAATTGATAATATAGTACTTTTTCATAAAATAAGAGATTAGTAATATAAAGTACTGATTATGAAATATATAAAGTGCTAATTCTAAATATATAAAATATTGATTCTAAATACTAATTTTAAAGTATTGATTATTTATAAGATGCTTTAGTAAGCAGTGTGAAATCTTAATATCATAGTAACTGATATCTGTAATTTTTAAATAATATAAAGAATTTATAAATAGAAATATTTTAAGATATTTATCTGAGTTGATTGCATATGTAGATAGTTTGTATGAATTTATTATTAATAGTTTCTCTATTCACAGTCAGCTTAATTTTTATATTAAACTTTCATAATTCATATAAAAACAGATTAAATTTATTAAAGACTTTCATATCTGAAAGACAGATCTTAGATTTTTCAATAATAAAAGAAACTGAGAAGGTAGAAGATGAAGTCACAGAAGAAGTCTGTGCAAACTGAGCAGAAGTATTAACTACTTACAAAACTTTATATTTTTATCTCAATCATTCAATTTCAGTTATGTAGTTAGTCATAATATGCTGAACTATAAACTTATAATGTCATTTATTAAATGATGAGATATTCTCTATGCTTGAGTCTGAGTATGAAAAAAACTCCATTGATAGAGAGTTCTCTTTTCTATATTTTCACTTGGAAGCAAGAGAGCTATGAAGAGAGGACCCGCAGCAAGGAACCTTAATTGCAGGTCAAGAATCTGATGTTTTGGAATCTGTGTTAGACTCAGCGCGCCGTAGGCTCAGCACCAGATTAGATCTACCCCCATCACATGACCTGGTGAATGGTTTCTATGTTGGACGTCTGAAGTGGTTATATTGATAGCCTATCTCAGAGATACTATATATTGTGCGATGCACTAGTTTATAATAGAAAGCCTAGGCTTCAACATTTTCTCTTGAACTAGCTACTGTACAGACTAGCTATTATACAGACTAGCTACTGTTCTGTTCAAATCAATCATATTCATCTTCTCTGTCAATCTATCTTGTCTTTCAATTGCTGTATCCATCAAATTCTTTTCTTATTTCACCCATAATCTGACTGACTTCTCAAAAGTTTTTTAATATTTAAAAAATTTATTATAAAGAATACTTGACTTGACTGACTTATAAGTAGATTCTCTGTATTTCTATCTTTACTTTTATCTCTATTCTTAGTTTTGTTTCTATATCTATTTTTCAATATCTCAATACACTTCTTATTATACTTCTGTTATTCAGTGCTTGTAAGATTTGAGTTCTTGAACTAGCAGTGTTTGATCATATGCTCTGTATTCTCATAGTAGTAACATTAATATTCATCAAATCATTTAGTGATGGAATTTGCAGCAAATAAGTTGACATGAGTTGTAGTGATAGTGACATGAGTAATCAACTAATTCATCAATTCATTAAAATTTAAATTCTGAATAAAATTTTGTTTGATGGTATAAAAATCATCTAGCTTTATTTTAATAAATTTTTGTTATCAGTCTCTCAGTTCTAGTATAAATAAATCATAATAGATACTCTCAGCTCAATTTTCATCTAAAGATATAAGTTTTATCTTTAGATTTTGAAAAGTTGCAAGATAGATATAAAAATCACTATTTTTGAGCTATAAGTCTCTTTAATTTTTTAGTGATTTGAAGATGTTCTTCTGCATGAGATATAGCATAGTGCTAAGCAAGATTCTTTCATATAGTTACTACTAGAGAGAAATCTTCATTCAGTGATTCTAAAAAATTATATACAGTTGCATTCAAAGATTAAAAAATTCTTGTGTAAAGAAGTTTATTTTTTTTATTTCAAAACTTAATTTTCAGAGAAACTGTGATAGAAGATGTTGTTTATTGTTTGTTAAGAACATTTTTATTTGAATTAAATAAGCATCTGCAAGAATAGAGCTCTTTTATTTCAAATAATTGATTTTAATGAGAATGACTGCATGCTTCTCTTTCAATTTTATCTTTATATTTTTGTAAAATTTATTAACTTTATTTTTGATAAAATTCTTAGTAGTATTTGATAAGAAATCTGAGTTTTTCTCTAGTTTTTATATGAGTTTTTCTATTTGTCTATTCTGTCTTTTCATGTATTTCATATCATTCATATCATATTCATATTACTTTTATTTATATTTATTTCATCTTTTTGATCAGTTTCTTCTTTGGATTCAGAGATAGATCTATCATATTTGTATTCAACTCTATTCATATTGTTACTTGCAGAGATAGTCAATAATTCTGCAGCTTATGTTCTTGAAGATATCTGTTTATCTTCTTTTAATTCAATCTGTTTTCTATAATCAAAGCTTTTAAAATAGTTACTTTTTATCAGATTCTTACTGCAATTTAGCAATACAGTTCTCATAAAATGTTTTATATCTCAGATTAAAGAAGAAGAAGAAATAGAGTATGAAAGTAGTGCAGAAAGCTCTTCAAAAAGAAAAATAAACTATTTAGATCATAACTTGTTGAACATCTGAAGTGATTATATTGATAATCTATCTCAAAAATGCTCTATACTATTATGCAGTGTTAGGCTCAGCGCCCGACCGAGCCCGACCGAGGCTCGGTGCCCGGTTAGACTCGATGTCGGATTAAGCTCAGCGCCCGGTTAGGCCAAATATTCTCACATGATCAAATGACCATGTGGGTGGTTATAACCCAGGCAGGCCCCAGCACCTCTTTCATTCCGTCAAGCTTAGTATTTCATTATATAGCAGTTAGCAATACAGAGAGTTTCCTTCTTATGCAGCTTGCATTCACTCTCTAACATAATACTAAGCTTCATCCTATCTCTTCTACTCAGAATTGAGTAGAACCTGCTCAGTGAGAATCTGACAGCACAACATACAACAGCAATTCATCCCCCTTACTACTCATTAGAGAGATTTAGACCAGGATGACCACCTCAGACTTCCAGCCCTCTGAAAAAATCAAGAGGAACTGATGATATGTTCTAACTAGATCAATCAATCAACCACAGATCTCATTTGAAGAATTCAGACAGATGATTCACTCAGACAAGAATCATGTCTACAAAGAGTTAGCAGCAATCTTTGACAGCATCTTTGATGATGAAAAAACATTGAGAGATACAATCACATGTCTGAGAATGGAATGGAACAATGCCACTGACCAGACCACTGTCAAGCAAAGTTAGATTGATGAGCTAATTGCTGAATGTGATAAACTTAGTCACACTCTGATCTGCATGATAGTCAGCAATCAAGCAGCAAGTCAAGATGTCATCTTCTCTGAGACTATCTGAAGATCTGTCAAGATTAATGACTCAAAACATCTCACTGACAGCAAGAAGTCAAAATTTGAACACTGACTCTTCTGGATGAAGAACAAGCTCTGAGAGAACACTGATCACTACTCTACTGAATGCATGAGAATTGCATACATTGAAAACTGAACTGATGAAGATGCAGCACATCACATTGCACTCTGTATGGAAGAGGACCACCCTGAGTGATATCAGACTGCAGAAAATATATTTAAGCATCTTAAGTTAATATATAAGAATGCTAACAAGCTGCAAAATATCAAGAGTGATTATCACAAGCTGATTATATGCAATGAGAACAATTATTATGAATTTGTCACAAAATTCTTATATCTGGCAGATGAGATCAAGATTGTCAAAGAGAACTACAAGACAGACTTCAATGACAAGCTGTTCTTTGATCTTCAGAGAATGATGACAGTAGTCAATGCAATCATCAATACATATGCTGAGTTTCAGAAGATCTGTGCTCAGGCAGTTCACATCCTCCAGACAATCAATGTCACTCAGAAGTCAAAGAGCTTGTGAGGAAATGAATCTAATATCTTCAAGCAAAACACTCTGTGAGCCTCTAACAGTCAAACTTTCCACAGCATCTCAGCCACAAAATCCTCTACCATAAAGAAAGCTTTGAGTGCTTGTTCAGATATTCAGTGCTACTACTGCAAGAAGAAAGACCACATTGTTAGAAACTGCTCTGCAAAGCAGAAGTCTCAACAGATGATCACTGAGCTCACAGAGAATGACACTTCTGAGCCTTCAGCAGATTTGAAAAAAGAGTGAGTCTGAGAGAAGACTCTATCTCAGACAGCATATTGCAATGAACTTCATAGATGTGCCAAAGAGCAAAAGTGACTGTGATGCCATTCTAGTTATAGTCTGTCAGTTAAGCAAGAAGGCAATTTCAGTTTCTATTATCTATGAAGTTACAGTCTGTGAGCTGATTTGATTATTCATTCAATTCTACTATTTCTATAATGAGGCACCAGACTTGATTGTCTCTGACCACAGCCCTCAGTTCATATCAAACTTCTGAGATGAGTTCACAGAAATTCTAGACATAAAGTTGAAACTCTCAACAGCATATCATGCACAGACAGATGGACAGACAGAGACAACAAATCAGTATATTGTCACACACCTTCACCCATATGTTAATTACTATCAAAATGACTGAGATGAGTGATTACTCATTATAGATCATACTTCTGCAGTCATCTCAAACATCTTCACTGAAATCTCTCTCTTTCTAGCTGCAAATAAATATGAGTCACAAACATCATTTGACTGAAGGCCTCTGTCAAGAGAACTAAGAACAGAGAAGAGGACAAATCAAAGAGATGCTCAAAACTTTGTTAAATAGATGAAAGAGATCTGAGAGTGGACAGACAAGAGTATGAAGACAGCACAGAAACAGATGAAAAGACAGACTGACAGACATCACTGAGAATCTGACTTCACAGTGAGAGATTTTGTCTACTTGACATTGAAATCATACAGAATTGACTGATCAAACTGTAAGCTGACAGCACAGAACACAGACCTCTTCAGAATTCTAAAGAGAGTGGACAATATCTATAGATTGAATCTTCTCACAATCATGAAAATTTATTCAATCTTCTTCTCAGACAAGCTGTGCAAAGATTCAAGAGACTCTCTATCAGAACAGACTGTCAAATCACCAGATTCAATTAAGATAGATGTAGAAAATGAATGAGAAGTGAAGAATATATTAGCCAGTTGAATAAATCATGACAAACTGCAATATCAAGTCCACTGGAAGAGATTTGATGAGGACTCATCTTAATACCCAGCTCATGACTTCAAAGAATCACCACATGTCATACATGACTTTCATGAAGCTAACTCTACAAAAGCCAGATCTTCAAGATGACTAGATGAGTGGCTGAAGGCATGGGAGATAGACAGCTACCTGAAGGATGAGGTTGATGACAACCTACCAGCATGAGAACATGTCTGTCTCTAGACTGGGGGGTGATGTTAGACTCAGCACCTGACTGAGTCTGACTGAGACTTAGTGCCCAGTTAGACTCAACATCAGATTAAGCTCAGTGTCTGGTTAGATCAAATATTCTCATGTGATCAAACAATCATGCAGATGGTTATAACTCAGACAGGCCCCAGCATTTCTTTCATCCCATCAAGCTTAGTATTTTGTTATATAGTAGTTAGCAATGCAGAGAGTTTCCTTCTTATGCAGCTCACATTCACTCTCTAACATGCAGTATACTAGTCTATAATAAAAAGCCTAAGCTCTAACATTATAATTCAGTGACATGATCACATGAATTGTTATAATCTCTCTGGCATTCTCTTTCTCTTATCAAGCTTAGTTAGTATTTTATTATATAACTAGCAGTTAGCAATGCAGAGAATTTCTACTTATGCAGCTTACATTCACTCTCTAACATAATACTAAACTTTATTCTATTCTTTTACTTAGATTGAGTGGAACATGACTGCTCTCTAATTGATTTAGAACTCACTCAGCAAGAATCTGATAGCATGCTAACAGCACAGATGATGAAAGCAGAGCGATCCACTAAGACTGCTAAAAAGTATGTGGCAAGAATGAATAGAAGAAAGAGCTAGAAGCTAACTGCTGGACAACATGTAGAAATTTCTTGTAGATTCAGCCTAGCAAAATCTTGTATGTCACATGTTGTGATTTGAATTCTAGAATAGAGTAGCCGGCTCTTGATACACAGAATTCAATATTGCACATTGGTGGAAGGAAAAGAGGGTTTGAGAACACTTTACCAGACATGGTTTTGTTAAGCAAAACCGCTTCTGTTTAGCCAAGTCATCATTGTTTCTTGAACAATAATTACAGACAACAGCCGCTGAATAACTTGTTTGAAAGTATGGAGTAATGTATTAACAATTTAGAAGCTACATATTGCATGCAGCTAAATACTTATGAATCACATTCATTGATTGTTTCCACATTTGCTATCAAACTTCTCAGTGGGTTTATCTGTGTGATTCACGTGATTAACTTTATTGCTTGATAACTCAGAATGACATCGTCTCTATCTTCCTGTCAAACCCATTGAGTGGAATTTCATGGCTTAATCGTGCTGCTGCGCAACTTCACACCTCATATAGATGCACCACACCAAAATGATAAAAACATTGAAATGATAAAAATCTTGCAATTTCATCATTTTCATCATCTTCATCAATTAATAACTCACTACAATGTCAAATAAGAATAAAAATATTGAAGACTGTATTCAAAAAGCTGTCACTTATCATTAAAAAAATGTAAATTTTAAAATATTATCTTTGTCATGAGAATTTGAGATTTCTTACCAATGTCTCTGAGTAAGTATCAATGAAAGGAATTCAAATACTGCAAAGATTTCAGTTAACAAAAGATTAAATGAAAGTCAGAAGAATGTAATTAAACAATAAATCAAACTGCTTGATAAAAAGAATTGTGTAAAGAGTTAAGCTCTAAGAACTAGAGACTAGTCCTTCTATATAACAAGAATGAATTGCTTGAGAAAGGGAAGAAAAGAATAAGATGAGAACTTGAGCTTAAGCAAGCTCACATAGCATGATCATATGCGCATGTGCAAACAATGGCTAGGCTGAGTCAGCCAGCCAGAGTGAATCTAGAGGTTCAATCCCTTATAGTTGATATATTTTTGAAATGTGCTCAGAGTATTGGCCAAATCAAAAAATGTAATCAGCTACTCAAATAGTCTGTATCTGGTTCTAAAGACTGTCATTCACTCATCATCTTCTATGATTTGAATCTTATGAAAAGCTGCAATAATGTCCAGCTTAGTGAATTAATTAGTCTGTTCAATTTGCTATAGAGTCTCACTGATTAATGATAGAGAATATCAATTCTTTTAAGTGATTTTGTTAAGAGCTTGATAGTTCACACAGAATCTTAGCTCACTTCTAGACTTCTTCACAAATAGTACAGAGGCAGCTGCAGAGAAGTTGCTCACTCTAATAAAACTGTTATTTAGATAATCTGTAAGAGTCTTTCACAAAGTCAGTAGTTCCTCTTAAGACATATTATATAGCAGGCCTCAAGAGAGTTGTTTCACACTATCATCAGTCTTTTTAATCAGTTCAATTCCATGATCTCTATCTGAGTTATGAAGTGGGGGTAGAGCGTCAGTGGCTTTCTTATCAAATATGTCTAAAAACTCATGATAATGTTCAGACAGCTTTTCTCTAGAGTCAATCTTTGATTTCACTTCTAGAGTCTTTTGAATGTCAGTCAAACTGACAGTAAAGATCTTGATGTTTCATTTCTCTCAAGTGCTCACAAGCCTAGAGAAGCTTACAGCAGAGATGGAAATCACATTAGCTTTTGCATTTGAACTAGACTTTATCTCTATGCCACTCTCTTCAAATCTCACAATTCTTTGATAAGGGATCACAGTTACCTTTTGCTGGGCCAGCCAGAGGTTGCCTAGATACATATCATGATCATGTAACCCATTCATCATGTAGAGAAAGGTCTGTTCAGTTACATGACCACCTATATCAATTCAAATGCCAGTTGCTATGCTTGTGGAAAGTCCCATGAAGTCTTCAAAACCAGTCATTTTAACAGAGGAAATTTCATTGCACAGGAGCTTATGCTTGTTAATGTAGAATTGAGAAATAAAATCATAGACATTATATTCACTGTCTATCATTGCTCTAGTTGATAAGGCATTATCTACTAGAGTATCAACAGTGAAGGGTTTAAATATCATTTTAGATTTAAATCCTCTTCATTGCTTCTTCATAAGCTTCTTATTTCACTTCTTTCAGTGTCTTTTGATTGAAGCTACTCTTTTTCCTGAATTCTTACTCATATCCACATCATCATTGTTCAGTATCAGCTCAAAGATCATCTTAGCTATCATAGAGATGGCAGAGTGTCTGAGAGGTTTGAACAGACAGCTCTTAATCATATGATCTTTAGCTCTGCATCTCAGACACAGATCTTGCTCTCTTCATCAATTAATCTCTGTCTGATTTATCAATTTGATGTGATGAGTACTTGAGATCACAGCATCAGAAGAGAGATTCATCAGATCATCAGCAGAAGCTTGAGACTGATTTCATCAATCAAGAACAGCATAACAAAGTAGAGAGTGTGAATTAGATGTTGTATGATCTGAAGAAGATCTGTCCTCATAATGTTTAGACTACTGTCTTAAAGTCTTAAGCTCAGAGAGTTGATGATCAACTAATCTAAGCTTTTTGTAGTAATTCTTGTAGAGAGACAGTTCTCTTATACTCATCATGCCTTCCCTCAGCTTCATGCTTAGAGCAGATTTCAAATATCTCTTTTTAACATGATCATCTCATCTGTGATCACCAGCTTCCAGCAGTAGCTGATTAAATTCAGACAGAAAGTTGAAGAGAGCTCTTCTACTCTATCATAGATTGTTGAGCTTTTGCAAAGTGTTTTTCTGTTGTGCAGAATCACTAAAGAGCATGTGTGTCTGCTTCAGTAAGCTCTCTACTGTGAAGTTGATCTTGTTCTTATTATTCTCAATCTAGAAGTAAACTCAAGCTGCTGCCATTTCTTCCAGTCTTGAGTACACATATCAAGCACATTTCTCATTATTATCTAAAGCTTTCCCATCAATCTTAAGTTTTGATTAAAGCTTTAGCTCTCACTGAGAGTAGTGCTTCAGATTAGAACCATCATACTTCTCATTATTCAGTAGCTTGATCTTTGGTCTTCTGACTGCAATGAGTGGTTGCAGATTTGATTGAGAGAGAGTTGATATCAGAGT